TAACCCGTTGTCAATGTATTAAATACATAGCAGACAGAGTGAAGTGAGGTTTTGGCCTGGGAGATTAAGCCCGTGATTTTGAACCAACGACTACTACGTCGATCAGAATTCTATAAATAACAATTATTGTAATATTTGTGGCTAATGCAACTCTTTATATTTAAAAACCATACTCCATCTTCTCTCTTGCTTATTTCATATTTATTTGCTTGAGTTTAGATCATTTTCACTTTGATTGAATTGTTAGTTAGATATGCAATCACAATTGATCATTTTGCATGTACTTGAACATTTTTGTCCCGTGATATAGAGGATCTCTCATGTCCAAAAACACCAACCTTTTTCGTCCAAATCTCCGCCAAAACGTGTTGGAATTTGCTTGCGTGAACTTGAGTGGACACGACATCTGTCGTTCACTTGACCATTACGAAAAAAGAGGTCAACACCTTCCTTAAAAATTAGGAACATATTACTATGAGCTATGCTACTCAAATAGGGCTGGGAGATTAGAATTGTTGTTTAAATTCCCCAACCCCCACCCTATTTGAGTGTATTAAATATACTTGACTAGTAATACTGGACAAAGTAATTATTCACCACGTGTCCTCTTCCATACATGAGTTTGTCCTTCATTCTATATTAGCTCATATACTATAGCTTTTACGAAATTATGTCATAATTAAGTTCATGTTTGATGGTCATTATTTTGAGAAAATTAAGTTTTAAACAGTGATTTTTTTAGAAAATATATGATTAAAAAGCAGGAAAAATTTTGAGTCTACATGTTGAATATTTTATGGTCAATGTGGTCGAAAATGAATATGAAAATTAAAGAGTTGAGAAATAATGATTGTCAAACAAAGGCTAAAAGTCGAAGGGAGGTGGAAGTTAGTGAGGTCCATATAATTAAATTCTATCTCCTTGATCTTGATTCTAACTTGGCGCTTCGATCATAATCGATTATAAGTAACTTGAACGTGAGAGCTGAATCGACTACCACGTTTCTCACTTTTTTTTTGTAGGCCAAATAGTTTTATAAAGCTATTTATTAGATCCTAATTTTAATTCAGGATTGACATTGATAAAACGTTCATGGTGCAAAATAGGAAAGCAACAAAACAGGTGGACGCAATAGATATAAGACACGTATACTATGTGTGTTCAATGCGGTAATATTTACAAGTCACGTGTTTTATACATTGCAATTTTTTTCTAATTAATTGCGTATTTGAAAAAGCTTAAAAAGTTGGAATTAGTGTTAATAATTAATTTTAACCATAAATTTTATCAATTACTCTCTTCATCCAATAAAAATAAATTTGTTTTCATTTTCACACAGATTTAAAAAAATATATTAATTATATATTTTTTTCTTAATACATTTCTACATTAAATAACTATTTAAATATGAATAGTCATATTTATTGATAATAATTCACATTAAATAAGGGTTTATTATAAAATTAAGAAAATAGTGACTTATAATTTAGAAAGATTTAAATGAAAAGTAAATTTATTTTCATACAGGATGACGGAGTAAAACTTTTATTAAAAGCTTTATCAAATAAACATAACATTTTGTTACAACTTACGATTGAGTAGATGTCGTAACAAAGCAGACAGTTTCAAATGGATAAGATCCTAGAATCTACCAAGGAAGAGATTAGGATAAGTTTTGATGCATCCGACGTGCGAGCACATTTTCTTTTTGCTGTTACCCTTTTGGCCAAGACTTTTGTCGCCACCTAAGAGAAAAAGAAAAAAAAGTATTCCCTCCGCCACAATTATATACACTTGTTTCGTTTTTCACACACAATAATAAAATTTCTTTAATATCATTGAAAA